GCCGCACCCTGTATAGTTCAATAAATATCGCAATATTCACGAACCCTAAAATATTCTAAAATATTCTAAACGGATGTTGCTCGATAAATTAAAAAGAAAATAACCTTTTCTCACAAGTAATCGTTCATTCGAATTCATTTTATATATTCAGATGTTTAGAAAACAATAGTTCCTCCGCTTGATATGTCCCAGTGTCCAACATGGCGGCTTAACCGGGCTGTTGAACTAATTCTTTGGACTTAATGGGCGGCGTCGGTCGGGGGTAAGGTCGAGGAAAAAGTGTATTAAACGCACTTTTACCTGAAGTTGACGCAGGAACAATGGAATCGCACGGCGTCGGCGGCGGCGAGCGAGAAAACCGTCGCGTCGTTGGACTGTTGTCCATGTGCCAGCTTCAGGTGCAGCGGCCTGGGTGAACACTTTTTTCCGCTTGCACGCCGCGAGCGTAATCCGTAACTGCCAGCCACGTTCCATACCGTTTCTCCTTCGCCGCGGAAGCACTCTATATACATGGTCGTTAAAAAAAGAACACAAAACAAAACAGAAGAGTCTCTTTTCTTTTTTTTTTTTTTTTTTTTTTTTTTTTTTTTCGTCGACTCCCCTGTCGATGGCCCCGACAAAATATTGCGATTGCCGGTGTGTAAATGAAAATGGGTTCGGACGACGACGCGATATATCACTTTGATCGAAAGCTTTATTCCCTGTCTGCGAGCAGACAGCCGCGAAACGATCGTTTTTGATGTCCCTGATAAAATTGAGGAACGCCGCCCGCTCGACCAAATCAACGGCGATAATGTGAATTGACAGTCCTTGAATTTTTGCCCGTACCCGCCCGTCGGCCGTTCTGATCGGCAATATCAACGTGTGCTATGCACGTACCTACAGTTCGGTCGAGTGTGTAATTTCAATTCGCGGCGTGTGGTTCGATGGAAATATTCATTTTGCGCTTAACCTATAAACAGTACCGTTGTGTTTGTTCGTTGCACATTGCGTGCCCCGAAAAAACTGCGGCAGCGTAATGAAACTCGGAAACATAGTTTTCTTCGGTATCGATGGAATATTGAGTGGATCTCGTGTAAACGAATCGACGTAACTTTTCGAAGTGATGAAAGTTGAAGTAATTGAATGGAGTGGGGCCGTTTTCATTTAACCGGACGGCGTGTGGAAGTGTTAAAAATGTTGGTTATTCGGGGGAAGCGATAATTGGAATGTTACACTGTTTTCTTATTTCTTCTTTTTTTTTTTTTGTATTCCGAGCATAATGTTCCGACCGGACGCGATTGTACCCCTCCACAACCGGCCTTTGCGTGTTGGATGTTCAACTTTCGTAATTACGCGCAATTAGAAAATAATTATTGTTTCCAGAAACTTGCTGAACACGAAACTTCCCCGGGCACACTCGTTTTAACGTATTTACCGCATCACCTCTGGTGCACTGTAACGCGAGGCAGAATTTTAATCGGAGTTTTGTAGACTTAAACGTCCGTTAGACAAAATGCACGGTGAATGAATTCAAGTCGCGGCAACGTTATGGTATATCTGTATTTTACACATCGAGAACATTTTCATTATACTGTCGACAGTTATAAAATGTTTGGTCTATATTTACGACGTGGGTATTGATTTTATGGGCAGTTCTGAATTTATGGATAGATGGATGATGGTGTGGTAGTTTATAAAAAAAAAAATAAGGCAGAGTACGATACCCAGATGGTATGAGAGAGAAACGAAGTGTACAGTGGGTGATCAAATTATTATGAACAGGTGGAGAAATTACAGATTTTATGAATTCGGTGTTATAGACTCCTTCCCATTATCGACTTATTCAATAATAATAGTTCGAAGATACCGATTGTTTTTCATTTAGTTCTTATCGAACGATTCCAAATTTATAAGGTTTTCGCATCTTTGATTTGCTCTCCTCTAAAGTTTGAAAAGTGTGATTTAATACAATCTGTCCCTGACGTTCAGATATATTTTTTGAGAGATTATAATCGTTGCTGTATGTCAATAAAAAGATAATATGTTTTGTAATGAAGAAGGTACCATTATGGGTATTTTCAATTTCGTTCTTGATAAAAATTAAAATGAGTGGTGCATCGAAATGGTCATAATAATTTGATCATCCACTGTAATTATTTCTTTGTATAATTAAATACAGATTGAGTCCAAGTTAGGCAGAGATAGGCGAGGTGAGTGCGCTAAGTAGGGTGTTTCTTTGAACCGGGGGTTACGGAGGATTTCTACAAAAATCTGGGTCAGAGTTGTCCGAAGTCAGCTTCGGGAGCCAAATCCTTTTCCCATTCTGTCTACGTTAGCATGATGTAGAAACTTTGGTCGATGCAACGCCGTTCCGCGTAAAAAGTGGCTAATGTTATTATTCTCGCGAAGATTTTAATAACTTTTTCATATTTCTCTTGTTTCACGAGGGAAGACCATTACGGTGTAAGAAGTTTCTCGTGTCCGCAGATCCGATCTGCATCGGATAACGACAATATTCGGTCATCGTTTTTTATTCAACGAGTTTTTTACACTTTACAGCGAACATAGTGTAAATACAAAATCGTGTCATACTATGTTACATTTACATGTCAACTTTATTAATATGGTTGAGCTGTTCGAAACATAAAAATATTTATAGTAAATAATGGTTAGTAGGCTAGATCCCACCAAAAATAAATAAAAGAGAAGAAAAATGGAAAGAATAGGTGTTTTCAATATCGATATTTCTGACTTCAAAATAACAAGACACAATATATGGGTCATTCCACGTCAACCAGGACAGAAACTTTTTGATCACCTCTCCGATTTTGTTGAAATTTTGTTACGTGTTCGGTATGTCGTAGAAACATGCCTGAGTTTTTTTAGATTTTTAAAATTGATATTTCAGAAAATATAAACAATTAAATATTGCACAAAATGCTGAAAACTGGAAATCCGCTTATATTCAAACATCAATATTTTCAGTTCCGTTCAGTTTACAGACTTTATCTTGAGCTCATTTGAAAGTTCTCGAAGCGCACTTTCATATGGTATACTCTATAACCGTTTATATTTTCTGAAATATTAATTTCAAAAATCTAAAAGAAAATCACGTCTATTTCTACGCCATATAGAATACGAAAAAGAAAAACTTCAATAAAATCGGAGAGATGATAAAAAATTTTCCCTTTAAATCGTCCCCGTTGAATGACCCATATACATCAGTCTCATAATTTTGAAATAACGATTCAAGGATTTGGGCGTCAACAGGTTAAAGGTCAAGACGACGATTTTAAATACTGCTACTTTTCGTTATGTATTTATTCGAATACAACTCTGCTATTTACATACAGTAGTGACCGCTTAGCTGCAACGATTTTTCCCCGTTTATCTGCAACTCCGTATCCCCACCAGTTCGTGTAGCTGACTTCACACTACGGTCTCTCACTCCGCGCCTCTGCGTTCTATTACTAAGGTAAATAACCCGAACCTAGGCCCTCTCACTCGCACCGAATGCTTCTCACTATTAACTCCCAACCCATTCAGAGTCGAGCGAGTCGGAGAAAGAAATTCTTAGAATACACCTCCCCGGATAGCTGCTACGATAAGGTCCCGAGCTGATGCAGCTAAGTGGGGACTACTGTACATACATTCTTCAGAAAATTCTTGAAAACTGTAGGTATAGTGGAAGAAAAATTCTAGTTCTGTAGTTGAACAGCACAAGAAAACAGAATGTGAATATAAAGTTTGATCAATAAGCCTGGGGAGTTTATGTATAAATCATTATATTAACAATAATTCCATAGGATTACCACGAAGGTAATTTCCTTCCTACTTTTGTCCTTGTACACCTTGGAAATCTTTTTTTCTCAATTTTCGAAAGTGAGAATGTGAAACCTGCTGGCACGATCGCTGTTTCGCCTCCACAATATATTCGTATAGTTAAGTTTCGTCCCCGGTTATGAATAATTTTAAGAAATTCACATCTTCCCCCGTTTTAAATATTAAGGGTGTTAAAAGGACGACGTTTCGGCACGTGAGAGACAATTCTTAAGGGCTTAGACCACCTTGGAGGTCCGAACATTATTTGTAAGTTTCAAAATTTTTTTCGCCGTAATTATAAAATAAATGGAAAAACTATTTAAAATTCTACATGCCTCAGGGTGTATAATAAAATTTTTTAACTATTTTTTTCTTGGTGCTCTTCCATTATTGTAATTTTTTAGAGGATTCTCTCCATGGTTTGTACCAGAAAGCCCGCACACTTTGACCTAGGACAAAAATCTGAAAATTTTCTGTATCTATACGTTGCTTACTACAGAAACATAGGGATTTGTCAAAATATTAATTTTTGTGAAAATGGTGGATATTTGAAAATGGAATATTAATTTCAGGCGAAACATTTTTCTCTAAAATTGTCTGTAGAAAAAAATTTTTCAATGAATCGTAAAATGTCTATATACTTCTGTAGTAAATATCACAAATAAAAAATCTTTTGGTTTCTTGTCCTAATTCAAAGCATACGGGACTCTTACTGCAAGTCGTGTAGAGGGTCCTTTCAAAAACTGCAAGAATGGAAGAGCACCAGCACCGTCATTTGTTAAAAAAAAATAGTCACAAAATTTATGTACACACTATAAGGCATCTAAAATAAAGCCCTTGAAACAGTTTTTTAATTAATTCCATAATATCGCCACCAAAATTCTACATATTAGTTTCAGGCCTCCAAGTAGCCAAACCCCTTAAGAAATCTCAGGAGGAGCTAGATTTACTTCCAGTGTCTGTTTACCACGCCTCTTTCGAAAACTGGAAGAAAAAATGTCATAGGTGTATAAGGGCAGAAGAAGATTATATTCACGATTATCCTATGGAATTATTCTTAAGATCGATAACAAATACATAAAGTCTTCGAACTTTCTCATCAGACCATGTATCTTCTGGTCACCCTTTCGAACGGCGCCTCGTTACTTCCAGTCTTTCACCGTCTGATCGCAATCGTCGATCAATTTCTGTTTCAGCACCACTGTCGGAACTGCGGTGAGATCTTCTGTCACGCGTGCAGCGACAACAACACGTCCCTGCCCACCTCGACGAAGCCTGTCCGCGTGTGCGACGAATGTTACGTATTCCTGCTTGGCCGATATTCGGCCGGTCGCTAACAACATCCCTTCGTCTCGATCGGTCCGACAGCGTGGAAAACGTTCCAGGCGGAAGCTACGACAAAAGGAGGAAAAAACAGAGATCTGATCCTCTTTCTCTATCACACGTACACACCGGGCATACACACACATACAGTGAGTGTCAAAAGTATTCGTACGCCCTTTAAAACGGAACAACTCTTTTAAAATTGGTCCAAATGACTTGAGTTTTTTTGTGAAGTTAAAGACATTAATTTATTAAATGATGTGAAAAAAAATTTGAAAAAGTTGCAATTGGTTCGAATCGCGAAGAAAATATTAAAAGTCGTGTTTTACAACTTTTTAATCTGAGGCTATAATTAAAATTTAATAAATACGTATCGAAGATTTATGTTAGTTGTGTACATACCGAAACTTTCATTGAAATCGGTTAATACAGAAACGAGCGACAGACATCAAAAGATGTGAGAATTGTTAGATTTAGTACAGTTGTAGATCGAAAGTCGGGAAAAACTGCGATTTTCAACATTTTTAATCGTTTGTATCTCGTAGCAACGTTAACCGATTTTGATGAAATTTTCAACATGTATATAACTAACATAAATCTTCGATACGTATTTATTAAATTTTCATTATATCCTCGGATTAAAAAGTTGTAAAACACGACCTTTAATATTTTCTTCGCGATTCGGACCAATTGCAACTTTTTCAAATTTTGTTTTCACATTATTTAGTAAATTAATGTCTCTAATTTCACAAAAAAACTCAAGTCATTTGGATCAATTTTAAAAGAGTTGTTCCGTTTTAAAGGGTGTACGAATACTTTTTACACCCACTGTATATACGGGAAAAATACCGATACACAAGGTCGTACCTTCAAGTGGACCGTGGCTGGAAGCCGTTCATTTTCAATTCGACGCACGCGGTTGTCTGAGAAAAGGTATCGACGGGAACGTGCATATGTAGCTACGTTCCACGTCGAATTCCCTTTTCATCGCAATATCATCGCGACCGTTCGGCGCGATTTACTTGACGCGCCGCTTGAAACACGGTTCGCCGATTCTCTGGTCCCACGCCGCCTTCCAAGTGAAAATGACCGTGGCATGGAGTTTCGCGGCTCGATGGGAAAATACGACGGCTGATAGCAATTCCGTGACATTTTCTCCGTTTTCGATGCACAATCTTTGGAATTCTTCAACGACGAAACTGCTCCGCGAGTACCGACGAGATAATCAAAAGCTGTATTCTACGTAGAGCAAATATAGCGACTGCGTGAAATGTGGGTAGAGAGATGTCGGGTGTCGAACGTAAACTGGACGAAGACGAATGTGAGTTGTGGATCTTCTTTGGGCTCTGTGCTTGGTGAACATGATACGGCGAGGTTGATACATTTTTTTGGGGTAATTTTGAGGGTTTTTTTGTACAACTACGGACACCTGTTTTTATAGAAATGTGGGATGGGAAAGAATTGGAGCTCAGTGATGGAACGGGATTAAGAAAGTGTTTCGATTCTGTTTCTGTAAACGTCAGTGTCTTTGTAATGGGTGTATGGGGCTGAGTTATGTCTAAGTCCAGAATGATATCTGCTTATGAATGCAGTACATCCTCGATGACTGTTCGAAGGCTCTTTGGTACTGAACATTAAATATTTCATAAACTATTGGCTTCAGAATTCCAAGCTCTATCACTGTGCTAAAGCTAATTGAAAAGTCCTTGTCAGTGCCGATGAGCCTTCGAACACTCATCCAGGATTTACTGTATGCATATGGTCTGAATGGGATAATTTTGTTGATTCGTTATATCTTCTCTGCCAACTCTGACAATTGGATTTGGGCAGTCGAGATTAATTGGTGACATGAATAGAGGATAGTCTTGGTGGAACTGATACGGTGCAACTGCAAAATCGACTGGGAACCAAAATACTCATTTTTAAGAATATGGGGTGCTAAAAGCTTGAACCTCACTTGGGGTACTGTAAATGTTACTATACCGTTTCTATTGGGGATATTATTGAGATGTCTGATTGAAATCCACTAATCACGGTTGTGTAAGATATAGAAGAGTCTTTGTTTGTGAGAAACATGTTTTCGCTGGTTATTATCTAACAGAAGTGTCGCTTGCTACATCATTTGAAGGAGCCTCGAGAAATGTGACTATATTTGTTCCATCCGGAATACAACGTCGTTATGTTTCGTATATTATTATCGTTAGGTTTTGCACGATTCTCTGAGAGTTTTTTTTAACAAATTGAGCGACGCGTTTCCGTACGTACCGCCTGTACTTACCTCGTACGAGTACGTGAATCCGGACGCGGATTGGAGTTGTGAAACGTGAAAGCTGCAGATACGCTTACGCTGTAGTTTTTCGAAATGCGTGCCTGTGAAATGGTATTTTTAAAAGATTCTGTAGCGTCGAAGAGAATTTTATGCGAATAAATGGCTGGTTTTATATATTCTTTGTGCCAGTGCTTTTGTTTTATCCCTGCAGTCAGGTGACTTTTTTTTCGATACGATATAATTGTCTTATGTGCCAGAGAATTGAAAGAATAATAGTTATGCGGTAGGATTTCGCTTTTAACCCTTACGCAATTCAAATGAAAAACTTGTTCGGTATGGATAAGGGTATTTTAATGTACAGTTAAATAAATAGGTCTCTTAGGATCACTGTTCGTTCCGGTGGAAAATGATCAGGTACGTAATTTTATAAAAGTATCTTATTGTTTGGTTTGACATCTTTGTAATCAGATGATTAACAAATGACTAATGGGATTGTCCCTTTTCTACTTACCTTAGAGAACAAGAGTAATGTTTGACGCTATTTTCTAGTAAAGTCTACGGAGTATTCCAACATATAAATGCTTTGGAAGAAACTATTGTGAAATCATCTTTGCTGAATTATTTTACATCAGCCATCAAAGTTTTAAGAAAAATAAAACATCTACCTATTGTAAGAGAAAATTCCTCGATCAGTCACGAACGAGAAAACAGCAACGACAAGAAGACAAACTTTTCCAGCACATCAAATGGCCCGAATTTCCAGTTGCATGCCGTACATTCCAAATAGATGTTCAATTATCCAAATTACACCGTACACCGTTGTGCCTGTTTCAAGCTCGTTAGATCCCGCTGAAAGAATGATTTTCAGCCACCTCCCACGCGACGCCTTGTTAAGGGACACCGACGTTAACGCGAAGAACCACGATCGACTATCGGGTACAATGGACAAAGTGGAATCAGAATGAATGTCTACAGAAGGATCGAAGTATACTCTGGAGTGAAAGTGGACAACGATCGTTCTAATCACGGCAATGTCACAATTTAGCCACATTAACCCTTTCGCAATTTACGATTTAATTAATGCGTAATAATTTAGGATTACTAAAACCTCCTTTGATAGCGTTAAATAGCGATAAGGAGATTAAAAAGGATTATTGGTCCCGTAAATACTTGCATCAAATGCAATATAAGCATTTAATGTATCCCCTAGTTTATCACAAATTGTATACCTATAATTAACGGGCTCGTAACAAAAACGACCCTTGTCAATTTTTGTTTCTTTTTTCAGGAGAGTAAAAAAGTACTCTCGCATCATTAACCCTCTAATGGCAAGGTCCGGGTCATATCCGACCTAAGTTATAGTTCCTTTTGTGCTGTCCCCATCTATTTCTTATTATTATTAATTATTATTCTCGTTTTAAAATATTTCTTATTATTTAGTGAACGTTTAATAGTTATATGTTATACAATTCAATTATTATTCCTTATTATATCAAAAATGAAAATACAAATTCAAGATAATAACTGTTTTTTACTTCTTTGAAAATAACTGAAAAGAGCTCAGGTCGGATCTGACTCCACCTTGCCAAGTACGTCCTTAAAATCTATCTTACGAGGATTAAGAATCTCAAGAATCGATCAATTTCCTTTTCAAAATAAATCAGGATATCCATTGTTTTTTTATAGTAATAGCTTCAACCATATTGAAAGACTCACTTCTGACTACTAAAACCAGGACTACAAAGCACATTTTTCTTACGAGCCCCTCAATTGTACAATACGTGGAAAGGGTTGCTAATAACCTATACAATTAATGCAACATAGATGAATGAACGTCGTATAAAATAAAAAGGAATTCCCGCAAGAACGACGAAACGTTTTCCACAAAATAATCAGCGCGTTATAGCGATCGTTCTCGAGACAGCAGCACCAATTGTGTCCGATGATTGAACCGTATGTGGGTATTGATCATCGCCAATTCCTGCAAAATGAGCGATTTTTCAGCGTCTATGGGCGCCGACAGCGATGAAATGGTTAACGGAAGGATTCGTTCGAAAGGATCGAGGGGATCAGGGTGTTCCAGTCACGCGGAAACCGTGCCCGTAGAAAATGCCGACCATAATGTGCAATCTACCTGCCGAACGTAAATTCGTTTCTCGCAGCTGCATACACGCTCCCTCTAATCTTCGAAAGGGAACCGCACGCCATTCCATCGACTCGCTGCCTTCGTCGCCGCCTCTGGAAAAGCAGTAAAACAGTCCCCTGGCCACCTTCCACCGGGGCTCTTATCCTTTCCAGACGTTAACAATGCCTGCCACCGCGAGATCTTACGATGTATCTATGTACACCGGGCGTTACATACATATGTACAGGGTGTCCCACTTTAATCAGCCCTGGGACTCGTGCATCTCTATAACTAGGTAAGCTACGCGAAATTCCATCGTTGGCTGGGCTGGCTCTTTCCCAGGGTGCTGCAACTGTTGTCTATAGGTTCATTTTGATAATGTTAGTAGACCATCTGTGAAATGAAAGAGTGGAATTCGTCATTTCTTGGCAAGTTGTAGCCCCAACTAGAGTATGATGCCTTGAAGACGGCTTAAAAGCGTCTTACAAGGGAAGGAACGGAAGTGTCCCCATCCGATTTTGATGAAACTTCGTACGTCTGTTAAGCAGTCAAAAATAAGGGATACGTATTTTTTTTTATCGGCTGAGACGCGACTTTAAGGGGTGAAACCACCCCTCGAAGTTTCAGCCCGAAAGTATTATCGCGAAAACCAGAGGAGATACATGAAAACTTCTAATGGACGAGGTTTTCGGTTTTTTATATAGAGTAATATGGTGCTAACGAATTGTCCAAAA